TGCAAGTATGCCACCAGGATTTTTAAAACATGCAATTTCTGACTATTTAGTCAGGAGCACTGACCTCTTTTCCCTTAGATTGTTAAAAAAAAAAAAAAAAGACAATGGCCAACACAATAATAGCCATTTGGTGTACATGAATCAAGATTATACCTATTTTTTTTTTTTTGCAAAAAATGTATTTTTTGGTGTGCTGCAGAATTTTAGCAATTAGCTTACACGTGCCATGAGATGAAAAGGTTTGAAAATTGCTGAGGGAGGGAGAGGAAACAGTACATGCGAAAGTCTCCCGGTGGAACAATGCTTGGCATGTTTGAGGACCAGCAAGGTGGTCAATGGCTTGAGTGCAGTAAAGAAGGCAAAGTAGCTGCGGATGGGCCAGATCATGGGGGGCTTTACAGAAACTTTGGCTTTTACTATGAGTGAAATGAAAGGCCGTCAGAGGATTCTGAGCAAAGGAATAATAAGATCTGACTTTTTAAAAAAGGGTCATTTGGCTATCCTACTGAAAAGAGAGGGCAAAGGCAGAAGGAAGACCAGATAAGAGGCTACCTCAGAAATCCAGTCAAGACATGAGGTGACTTGGATAAGGTGGCAGTAGTATATATATATACATATATATATGTATCATGTATGTGGAACCAACAAGATTTCCTGATGGATAAAATGCAGGATGCAAGAGAAAGACACTGGAAGGATGCAACTATGTTTAACTAACATAAAGGAACCAACAGAGCAGATTTAGAGGGAAAGAGCAGAAGTTCAGTTTTGAACATTCTGAGTTTGAGGGTTTTTTTGGCATTTAATGGAAATAATAAGTAGGTCACTGAACATAAGAGTCTGGAATTTGAAGGAAAGGTCCAGGCTAGAGATACAAATTTGGAAATTACAGTACATAGATAGTATTTAGAGCCACAAATGTGTATGAGATCACTAAGCACAGACAGAGGGGAGAAGAGGTACAGCACTGAGTCTCGAAGGAGACACAATGTCAAGATGTTGAGGAGATGTAAGAGAACAAGTAAAGAAGACTAAGAAGGAACAGCCAGTGAGGTAGGAGAAACTCCAACAGAGTGTGGTCTAGTGGAAGCCAAGAGAAGAAACTATTGTAAGGAGGGGGAAATGATCAATTGGGTCAAATGGTGTTGCGAAGTAGGCAGAGAAGGTTACATCACCTCTCTTTATAAATGCAGACGTTGAAACTCAGAGAAACTGGTTTGTCTGTGGTCTCTTGACCCTTAGGTATGTTGCTGGTCTCATTTCATGGCCACAGAATAACAGCCATTAGCTTAGAAAAGGTGTCTTACCAGTTTCTTTAACAAGTGGATGGAAACCACAGCCAAAGAGTGAATGGAGGAAGAAAATGAAGAGGGAGATGAAGTCAGGAGAGGACAGGAAACTGAGGGAACTCTGCCTATTAAGAGGGTAGAATAGGATTTAGAAGATTCTGTAACAAAAACAGAGAACAAGGAGGATGGGGTGATTCTGAAGCCAAGAAAATATATAAGTTTTAAGGAGAAAAGTTTCGTCAGCACTGCTGACTATTGCACAAAATCAGTAACCGGTGTTACTCAGTGACTTTCTCAGAGTTGTTTTAGTAAAATGTTGGGGATAACAATCTGATTGTAAGGGTTACAGACTTGGGTAGAAAAGGACAGGCAATCCTTTAAAAGAGCTTGATAACGAAGGCAAGAGACTTAAGGGATAAAGAGAGGTTTTATTTTTCATTAATTGGAAATCAGAACATGTTCGCAAAAAAGAAGTTACAGCTAAGAAACTATATTCAAAGTATGGATTCTATAAGCAAAAAGGAAGATATCTTAATTCAGCAGGATTGCAAAGTATATATAGTAAAGAGGTCAGATCAAAAAATTAAGTGAAAGATAATTTGGAAAAGAGGAATGACAATATAATTCCAAAGAACAGAGTGAATTCAAAATAAAGACATTTTGAGAAGACAAGGTGAAATAAGATAGAGCTTTCTGACTGGTCTAAGTCTTTCACTGAAGTACAAGATGAATTCACTCATCAGTAGAGACTGACTGAAGGAGTCTAAAGAGAATAGATTAAATTTGTAATAGTGATTCTTATAATTTTAGCTCTCTCACTGATCTTCTCAAAGAGAATGAACAAGAAAGGAATTAAAAAAAAAAAAAAAGAAAAAGAAAAGAAACCAAGAAATATTTGAGTGCACTGCAGGCCCTGCTGAAGAGAGCTGCTAGTCTTACTTCCACCCTGTTTGTATAATGATCAATGTGCTTGTTTGTCTCCCCACTAGAACATGAAGTAGTAAGGGTAGATAATGTTTATCTTGCTCATCACTTTATCTCCAAAGCAAATGGAACTCAACAAATACATGGCATGAATATGAATACATAATGGACAAAAATCTACATATTGTTAAAAATTCCTTAATAGTTGGTGACTGACAGATATTATCACTGAGAGTTAAAAAAAAGCCCCTGGCTGACATTTAAGTTGTTGCCCTAGGCCCATGAAAGATATTAGGCTGCCTTTTAAGTCAAAATTAGAATTTGTTCAATAAACTTAAAAGACATTAGGGATAAAATTCAGTATTTTATTTTAAATTAAAAAAAGATTCTATTTATTTACTTTTAGAGAGAGGGGAAGGGAGGGAGAAAGCGAGGGAGAGAAACATCAATCTGTTGCCTTTTGCACACCCTCAACCGGGGACTTGGCCTGCAACCCAGGCATGTGCCCTGATTAGGAATTGAACCAGTGACCTTTAGGTTTGTGGGACAGTGCCCAACCCACTAAGCCACACCAGTCAGGGCAAAATTCAGTATTTAAAAAAAAAAATGCACCAATTAGATTTTGTAGTTATGGTCAAATTATAGTCTGATTCTCACCTTTAAGCTACTTTAATTATTATTTGGAATTCCTGATAAATAAGAAATTCTATACAAATGAAGTTTTAATGTATTCGAGATGTCACTCTACCTTTAAGAATCATACTTTTATATCATTCTGGAATGAAATCTTCTTACAAATGCATATCACATATTCCTGCCACCCAAAACAGAACTGAATAAAGATTTAACCTTTTCTTAAAAAACGTGAGAGCCACCACTATGATGTCAATTATTATATCACACAGACAGTTGTGGAAAACTGTTATACATGAGCTATAAGTCTATTAAGAAGACCTACACACCCATACTATTTAATTCCTGTTTCTTCAGTTGGCCCTGTTTGCTATTATCAAAGTGCTTGTCCAATTTTTAATTTGTTACTGTACTGTGGAGCATGCAGGGAAATGTGTGGGTTGAAACTATCTCAAGAGGGAACTTATCACTGAACATTCTTTTGTACTGTGTCGTTTTACCACCATGTGCAAATGTTATTTTCATTAAAGAGGGGAAGAGACAGTTTTTGTGAGTTGTGTGTGTAGAGCAGAAAGATCTGGATTAGGGACTTATAAGCTGCCTTCTATTTAATATGAGTGAGGTTTTACAGCACAATTTACTTATTTGCCAACTGAGTTTTTTGTCTACCCTTTTATTTATTTTTTAGCTTTCTTTCTGATTCTCAGCTATGCTTCTAATAACTCAAGGTTACCACACACGTAGTTGTTGTAACTAGTTAGGTTCCTTAGCCATTAAGCTAATTTAAAAATTAAAAAATAAAAATAATCCGAGTACCAATTTTAACTACTTTAAGGTTTTTTTTTTAAGTGGGTGAACGTGGGTGAGAAAGGTTAGTATTGACAAAGTAGTATAACAATAATAGTTAGTATTTTTATAAAGAATACTTAAAAAATTTTATCTATAAACACAAACCAATGAAGGTTTTTCATGCAAGTCTTTTCATTGACTATAATGGTGCTGCTATTTGTTCTGCAAACCCCTAGCTGCCTGCATAAGCAGATACCAAATTGTGATTTCATAATAAAGCAGTATTTAAAATATTTTCATATTCCTAAAGAAAAATTCTGGCACATTAAAGTCATCTGACTGTTCTTGGATATTATTTTATTTGTTTTTATACCAAACTCACAGTAAATATCTTTCATGAAATATTCAATTTTGAGTTTAAAAAAACAGCAGACATTGAATAAAATTTCAAGTGCTCGGTAGAACTAAAATGAACTAAGTCTTTTCCAATAATTTTCACACAGGCTAAGGAATATAAATTTGAAACAGGAAAAAACATACAAATGCTACTGCTGATCTAGAAGTAATTAAATAATTTTAAAATACAAGTGGTCCATGATGACCTTTTAATAAAGAAACTGAAAATGCTGAAGTTCTAGTACTAAGCTAGTCTTGCAGTCTAGAGGAAACTTCGATAACATAGCTGTTAAGATTTTTATACCCATTTCCTGAAATAAAGCAGAAATATATTTTTATTACATATTGTATATTTTCCCCAATATATGTGGAAAAAAAAAGCCTACCAATGAACCAACTCTCAAATTCAGAGGCTATTTGTTTAAAAATAAGCAATGAAAAAGTTTCTGTGAAAACCTATGTATACATGTAGAATCCAGACCTTTCTGTGCTCTTCTATATAAGGTTGCAACCAGAACAAATTATGTTCCACAGCAAAGGCATAAAAAACTAGTAAGAATCTTGTTTCACTGCTAGAAATTAGAACTCTTAAATTGCTGTATGTATCACAGGGCAGACTTTTCACAGAATGAAAGCTGTAGAATCTCTAGATTGTATCTTATTTTTACTCAAATGGGAAAAATAGCCGAGGGTTAATCTGAAACAAGACTATCTTAAGCTAGAATGATACAGAGTTTATTACAATTCCCCAAATATTAAAGAGAGCTCCTAATATAACTTGAATAAGGGTCATGAACTGGTTCAGCATATTTCACTTGTGGCTTTATGAATTATAATGAATGCTGCTACTCTTTAAAAACGAATATATCAAAGGGGAAACAACCTCCTTGGCATGCTTACAGCTATACAACACATTAGTTTCATTATTTTCAAGTGCCAGCGCTGGAGGCTCAGCATAAGTCAGTGCGAGGAGGGCTTCAGTCACGCAGCAAGAAGGTCTACTGAGCAGATAAGGGAGATGACCAAATAACAGGTGAGTATTTAATAAATAAATATAGAGTTAATCTACTTTTTCCTTCAAAAATTTTGCTCTCATAGCTTTCTTTTCTATTTGGTAGTTTAAAAACCAAACTGAAAAATTTACCAATGCTAAAGGGGAAATTTTTAATATGGAATTTGTAGGTTTTGTGAATAAATGGTATAATCTTTCTCTTAGTTTCCCCTCCTTTCCAGGGAAACTGGGAAAGTTAAGGAAAAAATTATTATTTAAAACAAACAAAAAACTGGTTCAAATGTGGCATAAAGTGATAAGTTTGGAAAATATCTGTTGCGGGAACACACCTTCTTTGAAAGATGAAATTACTAAAAATAATTACTTGGATGTAGTAATACCCATTATTTTGTTTTTCTTTTCTCAGACTAAAGGAATCCTAAAATGCTTTATGCAAATGGCATTTATATCACTATTAAGATATACCTGGTCAGAAAAAAAAAACAACCCAGCTACAAATAAAAATTCCTAGATGGTAAATAATTTATTTAGATTTCAGGTGGGCTAAGAGTGTTTCTAGTTGTGTGGCTAGTGTGTATCAGAAAGTTCAGTTCAGAAGTACTTAATGCTTTGATGTTTCTATTCTTCTGTACCTGTTGTAAAGTAAAGGTAACAAGTAGCTTTTTATTATAACCACTAAAATATCAGGAACATGTTTGTGGGAACTGGCTACACTGTCACAAATGCACAAGACCTATTGAGAAGGGAGAGGCTACTAAAATCAAGTATCCTAATTGTTTTTTGAAAATAAATAAAATAATGCAATCAACATGTTTTGTATGGGGGGATGAAGGGTAACTCTTTGACATTCAAATTTGAACATGATTCTACCACTACAGAAAAAAGAGAAAAACTAATTTTTTTTTCCCCACAGCTATCGGTTTCTTTCACTAAGCCTTCTGAAATCTGAGCCTCTGTAGAATACTAAGCACTTGGGTCTTACCTACAGACATGGATAGATGCATTTATGTTCTCATGTTAGAGAACTTGAAATTGTTTTTAAAGGAAGAAGTCAACTTGGACTTCGAGTACTTGGCATGGGTACAATGCCTTAAAAAAGCAGATGACCAGCTTAGCTACTGACCATGCTGACCATTGTCTGGAATTGGATCAAATCACAGAAAAACAGTGAATGGCTTTCTCTTATACAACATCCGAACAAAGCACAATTCCTGAGCACATTTTGCAGAGCTCATTTGATCACTTAATCTCTTCTAACTGGTCTGGATCACAGACAGAATCGATACCAGAGGAAATGAAACAGATTGGCGAGGACCAGGGAAACAAACCGCGCTGGGCAGCTCTTCTGATACTCATGGTGATAATTCCCACAATTGGTGGAAACATCCTTGTTATCCTGGCTGTTTCACTGGAGAAAAAGCTGCAGTATGCTACCAATTATTTTCTTATGTCCCTGGCAGTCGCTGATTTGCTCGTTGGATTGTTTGTGATGCCGATTGCCCTCTTGACAATAATGTTTGGTAAGTATTTCACTGTTCCTGCCATCAAATCACAAAACTGTGATATACTACTAGAGAAATGAACACTTATTTAATCTTTAAAGATGGGTGTGGATTATTTAAACATACAGTGAGTAAACTTCATTTTTTATTTTCTATGGTCGTTTTAAAGAGCAGAAAATAATTTCTTAGAAACAACTGTACTCCCTCCTTAGTCATCTAATAAAATAATTTCAAAAGTCATCCAAATCAGCAATATTCATAGATTCTGTATACATTACTAAAAAATTATGGTGAAGAACAGATACATACTTCAACTTTCCCATTATTAATACTTTTTTTTCCCTTGACAAAGTCATAGCTAGGACACTTCTGTAACAATTATGTACTGGGTTAATTATTAATGATAAGGTTTTTGAATCATGAAGTTTCAATTTAAATCACTAAATCCCAATTTAAAATTAGAATTATTCTAACAATTCTTTTTGTATCTTTCTATGGTTTGTGAACTTTTGCCTTAAAACACAATTCTTACACAGGTGTCGTGTTAAGAAAAAATTATGTTTAGTTGCTGAAGGAAATGGTTTGGCTCAGAGTGTCCCAAGAGATGAGCCATGTATTTAACTTTATGATTTCTGACCACCCATGTCCTTGATATATGTAAGAGAAATCAGACCTCCGGGTTATTAGAATAAGTGACCAATACCTGAGTTATTACAGTAAAAAATGTAGTTTGATACTGAAATCTTAGTTTGTTATAAAAAAGATATTAAAATGATATTAAGTAGTTTCTGATTGATATATATCATTTTTAGTTATAATATTTGAGTAAATACCTGATGAATTATGAGGACTCCTAAGAATTGACTTATTCAATGCTTGGCATAAACTGATTCCATTCATTAAATGCTTAAGAAAAATGATTATCTGTAAGCAAACAGGGCTTCTTGGAATTATGTTGATACGGTGAAGACAAAATTATTTCAGGTTGCCTGGCCAGGTGGCTCTGTTGGTTGTAGCACTGTCCCGTATACCAAAAAGGTTTCGGGTTCAATCCCGGATTTGATGCCCCGTTGAGGCGAGTATGAGAGGCAACCGATCAACGTTTCTCTCTCACATCGGTGCTCTCTCTCTCCACCTCACTCTCTCTCAAATCAACAAACATATCCTTAAGTGATGATTAAAAAAAGAAAATTTCAGGTTATTAGAAGCAAAGTTTATTTAACTACAATATATACTAGGTGAAGAAAAACTGCCATTCAAACTAATATATTCGGGTTGAAATGTTAGACTTTTATAATTATAGAAAGGTATCTAAAATTAAATACTTGACCTCTCAAATATAAGCAAATGGTGATGGGCTGACTCTTCCCGCTCTAAGCCAACATTTACCCACGTTTTAAGTTCTGCGGCAGAGCAAGCAGTGTATAAGGTTCTGCCACTTGAACAGATTCCCTCATCATTCATACTGTCTTTCTAGCTATCTCCTTCCTTTTATAAATTTATAATCTTTTGAATAATGTAGAGTTACATGCAACCATGAAAAATAAAGAAATCTTATTCTAAAGGAGAACCTAAACAATCTTAATTCTCAAAGTTTAAAATAAATATAGTAAATGAGGATTATGTAAAGACATTTATGCATATTTAGTAAAGACTGTACAGGTATTGGATTCAAGCTTTTATCCCCACATACATAATAGGAACTTAATGTGTAAAATCATACTCTTTAGGCTGTGCTTTGCTAGGCATATAGAAAGTGTAAAAATGCTACCATAAAATTTAATTGATGCTATATTAAAGAAGTTGAAACTGAATGAGTTACGTAGAAATGAATTTTAACTTTAAAATCCACGAGTTCATAAATATCAAACATACACTATATGTAAAATACTGTGGTAGATAATTATAAATTATTGGCTGAATAGTTAAGGGATCCGAAAAAGTAAAGAAACGTCCATTGTATTAAAAGTGACAAACAAAACACAAAAACAGATGAGAGAGATAATTCCATGTATTCCACGGGCAAATAGTAAGTATCCAGCTGCTGAAAACTAAATTTATATTGAAGTTTTGGGGCCCAAGATATTCTTAGCAATAAAGGTTAGCAGGAAACCCAACATATTTTAACATATGTGGAACGTCTTTCTATTTATGTCCTAAATAATATATGTATTTTTAACGACATTACAGTTCTTCTAAATAGTAATTTTAAACTACAAAATAAAATCTTTCACAGCCCCAACACTTTTACTATCAGTAATTAAGCTGTATGCCAGGGTTGGATTTTTAAAAAATGAACTAACCTGGGAGGCTGACCATCATTTAAAACAGTACTACATTCATCCATTACTAAAAATACTGTATTTCTATGAGAAAGTATGTTTAAAAATGCATGCTGCCCTATAAAACGCTTCAGAACAATGCACTCATAAATTGGGAATTGCATATATTATAAGCAGGAACCTGACTTCAAATACTATTATTTTTTGACAGCCTTTCACAGGTTAACAAATAGGTAGACTTTCTAAGATGATGGGTTTATAAGAATTTCTAACTTTAAAGAGTAAGAACAGATTTTTCATGTATTTTATCTCATTACAGAGGTAACCCTCACAGTTTCTGACGTCTGTATAAGCAAAATTATCTCTAGTTCTATAAACATAAAAATTTAACCACCACTACTGAGTGATTTCAGTTATCTCAGAGAAATTCAATTAAAGTAACATTGAAACTTTATATTAGCTAATACTTTAATAAGATTAAGTTAAAAAAAAGGAGAGCACTGAATTTTAAAAAGTGGCTCTTATGCTGAAGAATATTTTATCCCACCAATAATTTACATATTTACATAATATTTGGTTATATGCTTTAAATTTTTATTTGACCAAGATTATGACTCCTGGCATAAGATGGTCTTTCAATAAGTTGTGCTCTGTCAACTTTTGTGTTACTTCTCCCTCTCTGGGAGTACTGGACTTAACCTTTCCCATACAATTCTAGTTTTTTACAGTCTTATCAATAATTCCTAAAGGCCACAATTACAAATTAGTAGCTTATGTTTAAGTCTTAACAATGCCTGCATCAGAAATAATTGAGTAGGACACAGGAAAATAGAACATCCTATGCCAATAAAAAAAAAAAGGATGTTCCCAGTTTAAGAATTTCTTTAAATTTTTCCTTTCCACATTAAATAAATTTGAACTATAAAGAGTGAATATACATCATTTGGTCATCCACTGGTCATTATTGGTTTATTTATATCTTAAATTTTAGTCCATGTCTCATGATTTATAAGTTAAACAGTATTTGTGGTATAGCTGAAAGAGGGTGTATAAAATGGCTAAAAGAGGGAGATTAAAGCAAGACGCCCAGGCTTTGAATCCTGGCCTCCTGTGTTGGCTTAGGAGTCATTCACTATGTCAGCGAGTTCAATCACCTTGTCTGTAATGTGGGTGTGCTAAACCTTATATTGCAGGTGTCCCGTGAAATTGTCAAGTAGGGCCCAGAACATAACAGGCACTAATAATCGGAAAGTACTGTATTAAGACAGTATGCAAAAGGGCTTATATACTTAAGTGTGTGATTTAGTTTATATGTGCATCTGAACAGAGAAGAAACAGATGCCTAGTAGTAAAATTAAAAAAAAAAAATCAGTTACTCATTTATGCAATGAAATGCTACTTTACCTAATTCTTAAATGAAGGAGCAAAGCAATTAAATGTGCTTCTTTCTGGAAAGTGGAAATTTTAGAGACCAAGAATAAATTTTCATAAATGTTAAATCACTTGAAACATTTAAAGCGCCATCATGTTAGACACCTACTCCAGAGTATTTCACATGCTCAAATGTAGTGGAAAAACAACAAAACCAAAACAGGAGCTTCATAATAAAAATTAAAGCACTTATCTATGTCTCTTTTTTATGTAAAGGTAGAAACATAAATTTCTGAGATTAAAAAATGTATACTTGACCTGGCCGGCATAGCTCAGTGGATTGAGCGTAGGCTGGGAACCAAAGTATCGCAGGTTCGATTCCCAGCCAGGGTACATGCCTGGGTTGCAGGCCATAACCCCCAGCAACCGCGCATTGAAGTTTCTCTGTCTCTCTCTCTCTATCTCCCTCCCTTCCCTCTCTAAAAATAAATAAATAAAATCTTTAAAAAAAAATGTATACTTGAAAACTATGTCCTTTTCGGACATCAGGACTATTGATGATGTGACCTGCTCCAATCTGTTCATGAACTTTTGAACTCTATGAACTTTATAGTTTATAGGTACAGCCCTCTAAGAATAGCTTTAAAAATACAGCCTTTTAAATCCTCAAAAGGGAATTGTCCTATGCCCCAGATTTATAGATAAATGTAAATTACTTTCTAAACTAATGATGTAACTGTCCAAATGAAAAACTTACCCAAAGGGTAAGCAGGTTTCAGATAAAATGAGTTAAATCTCATCAAGAAAGGATTTTGGTTTCCTGTTAAATATCAGTTTCTGGTTAAAAAAAAAATTCAGGTTTTTATACCAGTTACAAAGCAAAAAACCAACCAACCAACCAGCCAACCAAAAACAGGCATGTCAATGCATATAAATTATCTATGTTTCTTTAGCATTTATAAAAATAGTTAACTTTAGTAAAAAGTGTATTTTCATGGCAATTAAAAGTTAAACAAACATGTTCTCATACCCTTTTTTTGGAAGCCATTTTAAGTTCAATTGGATGAACATACTGATTTATACTGATGACATGGCTTATTGTTTCTAAGTAGGAGAGTTGGCTAATTTCTGTTAAACAATAATAATGCATGTATTGAGTGCTTTCTCTATGCCACACATTGTTTTAAACACTTTACATGTATCATTGCATTTAATTCTCAAAGCAACCCCATAAAAATAATATCATTGCCATTTTAAATAATAAATAAATAAATAAATAAAAATAATAAATAAATAGCAACATGATTCGAACCCAGGAGAACCGACTCTAGAATTCACACGTAATCTCTATCACTCTACTTTCTCAAATAATGAGAAATTATTTCAATACAAAATGTCATGTTTGGCAAATAGCCAACATTTGTACTTTAAATAACTCTAACAAGAGGGTCACAGAATTTTCTCTAGGGACAAAGGCAGAATCCAGTACTTTTTAGAAGTTACATTTCATACTAAATGATACAGAATGCTGTAACTGGGTCCGAACCAGTACGTGCATTAATTTTTGAGATCACTGCCAGACTGCTTTTCTGAGGAAGACATCAGACCTAGGCCCATGCATTTGAGGCTCTTGAACTTTGCTTGTCTGGGAGACAAATAGAAACTTATGTAACTGAACGGCAATTCTACCACCCTTTTGGCATGGTTCCATTTAAAGCATACGAGTCTTTAAACAACAAAACACTTGTGCTACTAACATTTTTAAAAAATTTTTTCATACAAATTTATGAGCCAAAGAGAAGATACACCTGGAAGCAAGACCTCAACAGACTCAGAGAAATGCTTCTTCCTATGTTACTAGTATTTTAGATAAATAATGAACTGTCTATAATCCAAGACTCATCTAAGACTTGTTTTGCTTCTAAAATGATCGCTTTGTAACTATGTCAGGTACCCATAGAAATGACATTATTCAAACCTTATTGAAATTAAATTCTTTGAGTTTAATTTGGAAGTGGGTGGGGAAAAGAGGTGAAAAATTGTAATTTTTTTTCCAGAGAAATTTTGTGTGCTTTCTTTTTGTAGCACAACAAATGCTATATAATTTAAATATTTTCCCTTTTATCTTAAGTCTTTATGAAAAAGTCAAATTTAGAGCTCCAAAATAGCAATCATTTAGTTCAAGTATTTAATAACTTACTTTCCACAGAATGACTCTCAGATATACTTTTCTTTCTTTTTACGTAACTCTGCAACTGTTCCATTTTAAATAAGTTCTTATGGAAATAAACTGAGTATAATACATTATAACAAATAAATGATACTATAAATCTTTAAAACAAATTAAAACTCCTAAAAAAAGCAAAGTTGTGGAACAGTTAACTATCTTAACATACCAAGTGCGTCTTTAGTTATTCTGAATAGCACGAAATCTTTCTTACCTTGAGCCCATGAAATTAACAGTAATTGAAAGCATCAGAATGAAACCTTCAGAATGAAAGCATCTGGACTAGAAAAAGTCCCTTTATGAACTGAGAATATCTAAAACTGTCTTTACGATTTGTATAAATTCTTAGATTACCTCAATCTATTTAGGCAATTAGATAAGCCTTTTTGCTTTGTATAAAACATTTCTATTAATTTAAGGCAGTCATCTGTTCCTTTTATGTTAGTTTCATAAAAAGTCTATTCACTAGTATTTCATGAAAATTGGAATCATAAACTTAATCCTAAAGATTCACCTCTCTTAATCTTAAACCTATAGTCTCTTTCTTTTTTAAATAAAATTCTCTACCATGTCTCTAATATTTCTACTGTTATCCATAGGAAAGCATAGACTCAACACAAATATAGTGATCTGAATAGATTTTAATACCCACTTCCTGTTCCAAAATTGGAGTTATAAAATAAATTCATTCTTATTGAAAATAAGGCTAATAAGGCTTCACAGGCTTCATTAAACCAGCACAAAAAAGCTTTCCCTCTTAGTTTGTGATTAGGAATATGTGGGTCAGACAGACTATAATCCCAGAGACATGTGCACTTAATATGAGAGTTCTAGTGTGGCTTCCTGCTCATGGCTACTAGATTTATGACTAAAATTTTCCAGACCTTAACTTAAGAAAAGATTATCCATAATTAGAACAGTTAAAAGGGCAAGTTTAAATGATCAACAACCCATCTAAAAAGATGATACGGAGAGAGCATGCATGTAAAGAAAGGAAGCCTACAATATGACATTAATTACCTGCCGTTTACAACCCTAATCATGATGAGTATCTCTGGATGCAGCTCTAGAGCTGAGTGCTTTTCTACATCCTACTCAGTCCTAAGTCTAGAGCTTCAGGACAGTTCGGAAGGCAGCTTCACTCCAAGTTTCCCCCGCAAAACTCTCAACCATAAGCAGGCCACTGGTTTGCTGAAGCTCAGGTCAAACACTGCCACCTCTGACTGCCAAGGTCCTTTCCCACTAATAGAAAATCTGAATATGGCAGCTAAAAGGGAGAAGATTTAATTGATTAGATTCTTTCTACACACACATTTCTCTGACATTCTTTACTTTGAGAAGTTTCCCAAAAGTTCCTTTCTGAGGCATTCTGAGCGGCTGTCCTGCTAGTAAATATCAAGCCAGACACAACTGTTTCCAGAAAGTCTTCTAAGCAGTGTTTCTCCAACATTAATCTGCATACAAATCACCCAGGTGTCCTGTTCGACTGCAAAGTCTGATTCAGCAGTCTGAGGTGAGGCCCAAGGACCTGCAGCCTGACCAGTTCCCAGGTCATGCCAACCCTTGCTGATCTGAACGGCACACTTTGAGCAGCAAGGTTCGAACGAATATTTTCAAGTTTTAAGAATAAATGTTTCCTCTCCTATTTAAAGGAGAAAAAGAAAATTTTCTCCTAAATTTATTCATCTGCAAAATCAGTGATATAATCTCTAAGGTCCCTTCCAGCTCAGGGACTGTATATAATTTATTATCTCCATCTGTTATTCCCACCCCCAACTCAGGGAAGTAGGAGTAATATGATTATAGTAATTTACTGAAAAGTAGGAATTACTCCTTCCACCCGATGCTTTAATCCTTTTTCAAGCGGCTGAACAGTGAACCAAATACCGAGCAATAATTTACCCTTCTGAACAAAAATTCATACTGATTTTGTTATTGTTTCTAAGAAAAAATAATTTTTAATATTCCTATTAAGAATGCCACATACCAGCTCTGGAAGCAGAAGGAACCAGAAAGTGGATTTGTGAGACTTGCCCCCTTTTTTGTGAAGTATCCAAATACTTTTCACTGAAATCCTATTTGTTTCTTAGAAAAACTATATTCAAACCTCTAAAACTTCTTTTTCTGAATTGTGGTCTATCTTTATTTGGTCTAGGATGCTAACCTCTCTCCACCTCCAGGCTCCTTGAATTTAAAAGTTTACAGTGGAAGGTGCCTGCTGGTGCTCTGAAATCCTGAGATGTTATCTCGGTCACCTGTCAGTATCCCAATCATTTTATGCCTGTCAAAGTCAGATACACTTGCAAAAACCAGAAAAAGAAAAGTAGCTTATATTTTGTCAGTGGATCTATGACAAACTGTAAGAAGGATTTAGATAATCTCATACATATGACATTTATTCTATACTGGAGTAATAGCAATTTCCAAAGCCTCTCTGTGAGTGTGTATTTTGGTAAAATGGATTCTAACTGAAATACTCTAGGGAAAAACCTAAAATAGATCCCAGTTCTGAAACCACAAAACTGTATGTAGTGGGGACCTGACTAGTGTGGCCCAGTTGCTTGGGTGGCAACCTGCAAGGTGCAAAGTGGCTGGCCTGGTTCCTGGTCAGAGCACGTGCTCGGGCTGCAGGTTCCGCCCCTGGTCGGGGTGCATACAAGAGAGAACCTACTGATGTTTCTCACATCGATGTTTCTCTCCTTCTCTTCCCCTTCTCTAGATTAAATAAATAAAATCTAATTTTAATAAACCTGTATGTAGTGGGTATATGTATAATGCATAGCTATCAAATCCCTATTATGTGTGGACATTTGTCTAACTAAATTGATTGGAAAGCTTTGTAGAATACTCAGTACCATATCCAAAAATTTAAATTTAAAAAAAGTTAATGTTTCTAAAGTGCTTAAGACTATGAGGTATACAGGAAGTGCTTTCTTTTAAAAAGAGTTGTTAAATAAATTAAATACTATGCCTAATCCTGAAATTTTCTTTTTCAACCAAAAGTTTGTATCACTGTCTCCAGAGCCTGAAGTGAATGATGGGATATGGAAGGATAACAATCTACTTTTCCTCAGGATAACCTAAAGCCATTCCCTTTACACACTCTATTCAAGAACTATTTCTCTCAAAAAGAAAACAAGTAGTTTCACTTAATTATTTCACCAAATCAGAGTGTGCTATCGACAAGGTTCATGCTGCTAGTTTTTGCCAGAAGTGAGCCCAAATCCCAGATTTCACTGAGAATTTCATTCTAATACTCTTTTTGGCACATTATACGGCTTCCTCCATATGGTAGAAGGTTTTCTTCTTATATAATAGCAGCTTAAAAAGAAATTTTATTTGAATAATAAGATTAAGTTCCAGGTGCAACATTGTGCAAATTAAATTTTATTTTTAAAAATTTATTAATTTGAGAGAGAGAGAGGAAGGGGAGCAGAGAGAGAAAACAAGCATCAATCTGTTGTTCTACTCATTTGTGCCTTCACTGGTTGATTCTTCTACGTGCCCTGACCGGAGACAGAACCCTCAACCTTGGCGTATTAGGATGACACTCTAACAACTGAGCAACCCAGCCAGGGAGAGCACTGTGTAAATTTTTAAAAGATCTCAAAAAGAATGGACAAAAGAGCAAAGGTCAAAATAATGCTAAATTACTGATTTAGAAAAGGGTTGTAATTATAGAAACAAAAAATGTATTTAGAAGGTACCATCTACAGAAATATATTTAATATTATTGATTTCATTATATGAAGTTAAACATCTTGTGGAAATTTAAGTCATCAAATTTCAGATGACTAACAAAACGGTTAAAAAATATGTAGTATTTTGGAGAAAAACTGCAGATTGAAGGGTGCCATTTTGCAGAAGAAATGTTTTGTGTTTCTTTCTTTCAGAGGCTATGTGGCCCCTCCCACTTGTTCTGTGCCCTGCCTGGTTATTTCTTGACGTTCTTTTTTCTACTGCGTCGATTATGCATCTCTGTGCCATTTCAGTGGATCGGTATATAGCCATCAAAAAGCCAATCCAGGCCAATCAATATAACTCCCGAGCCACAGCATTCATCAAGATTGCAGTGGTGTGGTTAATTTCAATAGGTATGTGGGGAATGTCAGGGTGTGGGGTGGTGTACGCAGCCTTCGGTTCCATTTGGCCAGGAGAGCTACAGGCCCGGTAGGCCAGGAAACTCAGCACGAGATGTCAGGGCAGCCTGCTGACACATCGACACAAGCTCCTACCTCATCACACGGCTTCTAAACCATACTATCGCAAAAGGTGTGAAAAAGCAGAGAAGTTCACGTTCTCAGAAAAAGAACTTCATATTTACTGAGTTATCTTCCTGCTTTGATTTTTACATGCAGGAAGGATAAGTCTAAAAGCAGTTCTCACATTTGGTAATAGATCATTACGGTCTCAGTAGCATACAGAATACCAAGATAATATTAAAACGACCACCACGAAAAGCATCTTAAATTACATCTAAGAAATTAAGTAGGAAAAAAGAAAAAAATAATCCGAGCATATTGTATGTGGGTATCAAAGGTCATAAATTCACCTTGGAAGGAAATATGTATACATACGAAAGGCAGTCATGTCTTGATTAAGTGTTTTAAATATGTTTAATTAGAAGCTCTAAGAGATACAAATGTTTGGAAATGATTTATAGAAAGACGTCATATTTCCTCTAAACTATTTTATGTCCTTGTGCCCATATTTAATGTGCAAAGATAGCTGCTATAAAATAGTGTTTTAGCATGAATAACTCAAACCTCTTACAACTTAATATCGGAAAAACAGATTCACAATTACTATGATCATTCAGAGTCTGATGAGAAGATTCACTTGTTCAAGGTATAAAACACTGAAAGCCTAAAAAGAAAAATCAGGAGACACCTAGAATGCTAAAAGGAAAGTTAGAAAAAGATACGATGTCTCTCTAATCAGAACAGGAACACTGCAGCAAAAAAGCAAGACAGTGAAATTAACCTTTTATTCCTGAAATAATGATTTCGGGGCCAAACCTCTTGAAAAGTCTGGAGGTCAAAGTAAGGAGTGTTACTACTCTGGCTTGGGAATAAAGTGGGGTCAAGGAAAAGTCTATTCACAATGGAGAGATTTACAAATTGTGAGAAAGGCTAGTCTGGGGGGCAGAGGCTAGTTGACAGCCACAGGGGCTCTCTCCAAAAAAGAAACTAGACAAACAGCAGGGGGATTAATGGGTGACAATTACCAAAATTTAAAATGAAGAGGAGGAAAACTAAAGTAGTTCATGTCAAATGACCCGCAACTTTTTGGTAAGTTCACTGTGCTGGGGAAGAGGAGAGGAGAGACAGGGTAAAGTATGCGTGTTGGGGTAGGGTAGGGAGAATGGGCAGAGGCAGGAAGAAAATTGGAGAAATGGATTCTTGAAGAATTAAAACATCTGAAACTGGGAAATATGATTAAGCCAATATATAAAAAGCGTGTTTATAGATATGGTACCTCAATTAAGGCTGGATAACATGAATTTATAAACTGATCATATTTTTATTGAGTACCTATGATTGTGCTAGGCATTAAGACTACAAAAATGAGTAAGAAAAAGAATCTTTACACCCAAGGAAGAGGGATAAAGTAAGTAAATGAGACTAAAACAAAGTTTTAAGTATGCAGGAATAAAAAAAATAAAAGACCACAGATTTATAGCTTTGGAAGGGATCTTACAAATCTACTCTTTCAAATCTACAGGATGAGGAAAAAACCTAGAGATTTGAAATGGTTGGCTTAAGGATTCTTAGAGCTTCTTAGTACTAAGACCAAGATCAATGCTCTTTTCATGTCATCACACTTTGTCTTATGGAACCAATGACAATTTAGTAACTTAGTAAATGAAAAAGCAGATGACGGGTTTAGTTTAGTTTTTAAATTCTTCCAAGTGCTGAAAAGAGCTCTATCCCTTCTTCTGGATTTATGGCTATCCTAGGTAACACCTGGGAATAGTAAGGTATTTAAGGGAAAATAAGGTAAGGGTATAAGAAGTAGTAGTACAAACTAAAATGTTACTGTTTTGACCATCACGCTGACTGAGAAGGTAATGTGAGCCTTATGAGGTTAATGGAATGTGAAAAAAGAGAAGGATGAACTAGAGATCAAACTAACAGAAATAGAAGTTCTACAGTAATGAACAGTAGCAGGACAAGAAAGAAATATCCGAATTCATGATTTTAGATAAGGGACCCTTTTAAGTGAACTCGTGCATGGCTTCAGGAGTGCAAATAATAATAATCAGAGCTGAGAAGTTCAAGAAAATAAAATTAAGGTGGTAGAGGGGCATCAACAGGACGAAGTCACAGAAGATGGTATCAATGGAACAGCGGAGAGGAAGACTGACGAGGAGCTACTGAGCAAGACGGACAAATGTCCTGGAGACTGGTAAATAAATGGAGACTAGAGTGGTATAAGTTAATCAAGCAGATTTTCAAAGGGAAGTATTTTGGGGGTAAGGAACAGAGGAATGATTACCTGGAAGTAAGAGGGTAGAGCAGGGGTCAGCCAACTTTTTTTGTAAAGGGTAACATACTAAATATTTTAAGTTTGCTGACTTTTTCACAGCTATTCAACTGCAGCAGAACAAAAGTAGCCATAGAAACACATTAACCATGAGTATGGTTGTGTTCCTATAAAATTTTATTTACAAAAACAGAAGGCAGGCCAGATTTAGCCCTCAAGTTGTAGTTTGCCGACCCCTAGTGTAAGTGTACAGAACGCCCCTTCTGGTGGTTTTCCTGTGGAAAAGTGGGAAAAGCAGTGCATGCCATTAGAAAGGGCTGGAGGAAAACATTCTGGTCAAGGGCTCTTTAGTTACCATAAGAAGTCTGTATAGATGATGGAAAACTTTAAGGTTCATAAAACAACACACGGATTCTAGAGGTTTCTAAAGATTAAATTCAGACTTACTTTTAAATATCTTCTGTTTCAAAAGGAAAAGATTCAGGCTAACACTTGTGTTACTTGTCTTCCTATTAAGTTACTTCACCAAGCAAGATCATATTTAAATATTTATCTTATGGTATTTAAAGTATTAGAAAATCAGCATGAGGAACATTTCTTTCATACCTATTAGGGGAACTCAATCCTGAAAATAAATTTCACAATTCACATACTCTCCAAGTTTTAAGTAGCATTTAAAAAAAAACAACAAACCCTTCAGTTTTCCCTAAGAAGTAAAAGATTAAAAGACAAACATCAAAAGATAACTATCTGTTAAATGAAACTGTAACATCAAAGATAATAGATATTGATTCAGAATTAAGATATCATATAAACATACTGTGAAAGTGTCTTAGATCAACAAACTACATTGGATATTAAGATAAAAGCAGTTTCTCTTCAGAATTCCTTTTCCTTAACCTGGGATAGATCGACAAACAAAAATAGATTATGAGAACTGGAGAATAAATAAAGACATTTAACTACTCTTTCATGAACATATTATAGCTTTAGGGAAGCTTCAGTTACAAACCTGAAATCACTAGCCGATCTCTATTTAAAAACAGCAGGTTTGCTTACTTAGGTTCTACTTGTGAAATCTTCCACTGATGAAGGGCTTTGACAAATTCTGCATTGTGGATACCAGTAATTACAATATACCAACCACAAAAGGTCACTAAAATCAACTCTAAAGGACCTAATCTAAGAATCGAAGATCATAACATTAACTTAGTCTATCTTGTTTCCTCCTCCTTAGGCATTGCTGTTCCAGTCCCTATCAAAGGGATAGACACTGACGGGAGTAACCCAAACATCACTTGTGAACTGACAAAAGACCGCTTCGGCAGTTTCATGCTCTTTGGCTCCCTGGCTTCCTTCTTCACGCCTCTGGCGATCATGATCGTCACCTACTTTCTCACTATCCGTGCTTTACAGAAGAAAGCTTACTTCGTCAGAAACAAGCCACCTCAACGCCTGACGTGGCTGACTGTGTCCACAGTTTTCCAAAGGGATGAAACACCTTGCTCATCACCCGAAAAGGTGGCAATGCTAGGTGACTGTAACAAGGACAAAGCTCTGCCCAACTTAAGTGATGACATACTTAGGCGAAGAATGTCCACAGTCGGAAAAAAGTCACTGCAGACCATTTCCAATGAGCAGAGAGCCTCAAAGGTTCTAGGGATTGTGTTTTTCCTCTTTCTGCTTATGTGGTGCCCCTTTTTCATTACAAACATAACTTTAGTTTTATGTGATTCTTGCAACCAGACTACTCTCAAAATGCTGCTGGAGATATTCGTGTGGATCGGCTATGTTTCCTCGGGAGTGAACCCTTTGGTCTACACCCTCTTCAACAAGACATTTCGGGATGCATTTGGCAGATTCATCACCTGCAATTACTGGGCCACAAGATCAGTAAAAAGTCTAAGAAAATGTTCCAGTAATATCTTCCGGAATCCAATGGCAGAGAGCTCTAAGTTTTTCATAAAACATGGAATGCGGAATGGGATTAATCCTGTCATGTACCAGAGCCCACTGAGGCTCCGAAGTTCAACCATTCAGTCTTCTTCAATCATTCTACTAGATACACTTCTCCTCACTGAAAATGAAGGTGACAAAACTGAAGAGCAAGTCAGTTATGTATAGAAGAAGTGGCACAGCTTCCATCTAATGTAATGATGAGTAGGACAATGAAGCAGATATAAATGCACCAAGAATTATATAAAGAACTTAACTCATTTATCATACCATCTCTGTACACTAAGAGTTACACATCAAGATTACCCAATTGTTTTTATTTGGACACAGTTACTTCATGAAAAAAAGAATTTTGGCTCTGACTGGTGTGGCTTAGTTGGTTTGGCATCATCTTGCAGAGCAAAAGGTCTCTGGTTCGATTCCTGGTCAGGGCACATACTTGGGTTGAGGGTTCGGTTCCTGGTCAGGGAGCGTGCAAGAGGCAACCTACTGGTGTTTCTCTTTCACTTCAGTGTTTCCCTCCCTCTCCTTCTCCCTCTCTCTCCCTCTCTAAAAATAAATAAAATCTTTTAAAAAATCATAGCCTGTGGGCTGGTTTCAAACAAGGTTAAAGAAAAAAAATCATTTTGTACAGCTGCAAATTAAAATAATCTAGCACTCTGGTTAAATGTTAAGAGAGTTAAATGAAATAAAATTAAATAAATCAATAAATTTCAGGCTTAAAAAATAATGTCTTCATAAGAATTTGTTTAGTTCCTACTTATATGCAAAGCTGTGCTACAAAGGAAATAAAACAAAACAAACAAGCATTATCCTTGTCTTTAATGCCTTAAAAGCATAAGGCATAACAACAGTGATAAAGGAACAAAGGACTAACAATAAGTGTATAAAATAAAGATCACATCTGGAGATAAGATTGCCCTTTATAGACTGGTTTATTCCATGTAGTCATGACTTTGCTTTGATCAGGAAATTGCCTGGATAGAAGGAGTAGGGAGGACAGTAGGTGCATATCACAGAAAATAACTGGAGCTCAGAAAATAACCTCAGTCCAGGAACCTAAACTTTAATGGTCTCATAAACGGAGATCATATTGCCTAAGCTTGACCAGAGACTTGGTTGAACTTCAGACACAAAAATTTTAAATTTTCCCTCTAATTATTTCATGTTGGGAATAAATTCACTCTGTGTCAATTACTACCTAACTGATTGAATTTACAGAAAAGTGAATTTCTATGCACCTCAGTTTCCTCATTTCTAGTTCACAGGGTTCTTACGAGGGTGAGTACATGTGGGCACTCTATAAATGGCAGACAATTCTTTTTACTTTCGTTACTTGATTTTTATGCTAATCTCATACCTTTAGGTAGAGGGGGTCTGCAGTGAAGACAGCCTGTATCTTCACCTTTTTTTCTTGGGTTGACCCATTTTTATGCCTCAACCTACTATTCTATCACCGCCCCTCTTCATGCAACTTGTTTAAGAAAATTACTTCATGAAATATGCTGGCTATTGAGCAGCTCAGCCTAAGTAAACCAGGTATGTATTTTCCAAATGGCAGAATCCTTTCCTACAACCTGGTTCTAATACATAGATCTTACGGGCTCTATGTCAACTGCCAGAAAGAATATATCTAACAAATTTAATTCCTAAATCATCAAAGCTTTTGTCCCTACCAGTCTAAGAGTTTTCAGTGGCATTAAGGGTTGGCTATTTCAAATAAGAGGCAAAATAATTTGTTCCTAAAGACAAAACAAAACGAAATGAAAAAGCCCATTCTTTTCAGTTTTGGTTCTTGTCTCTAATATGATGGATTTGGCATATGTATATGTTAATGAATACTTGTACCTAAAAATATCTATCTATCTATCTATCTATTTATATTCTTGCCAAGTGTTATAAGATTAAGTTTCCAGACATCACTCTAATAGCATTTCAAACTGTATTTTATGTGTGTGAAGGCATCTATAATTATTTCTAGAAATCTGAATCCTAGAAACAGCAGTCACACTGGCACAGTCTACCCCTAGGCAATCTAGAAAAAAGGACTTTCTTCCCACATGCTCTACATTGCCTCCAAATCTGTGTATGTGCTTAAACTCACACACATAGGGAGCACATAAACAACTCATGAGCTAGCTCTGACTATCCTAGGGAGAACTCAGCAAAGCACAGAAGTAGCTCTTGGGCGACATCTGCTGCTGAAACTGGGAATTTAGCACATGTGTGAACTACAGGAACTACAAGGGCAAAATGAACTTTGTTAATTTGAGTACAAAGACCGGTCCCGTTAAAAAGAAGTGAAAAAGTTTTTAATTATCTCATCAACTTCCTCTGTGGCAGAATATGCACACTAGGCCAATGATTTACATGACACAAAATATAAAGCCACTCATAGGGAGAATTAACAGCTGACAAGAAACAAAACAAAGAGACTATCATCAGTAGGATTCTTTACACAAGCCAACAGTTGCTAAAGAGTGCACCTAGAAGATACACTTCCCATATTAAAATTATCTAGCTCCCTGATAAATGTTTTTTAAAAAAACCCAAACCTCTCTAGATGGCAATAATAAAATCATTTCTTTTTGTTTTTGAACTGTGTCTAAACTCTAGAGCAAAAATATGGGAAGATAAAGGTCACAGCTTGGCTAGAATGATATATCAGAGATGGCAGGAAGGAAATAAAACTATTCAACTTATACTTTGCTTCTTCCATCTTTTCTCTCAGAATGATTTTTAGATCAGAAAGTAATGTGAAGATGGATCAAAATGCAAAATAGGTGAAAGAGAATGACTGTTTAAACGAATTCAAGTCTCTAAGCTACATGAACCTTCTGCCTGAAACAGAACTTGTCAGTGTAATTATGGAGTCACTGCTGACGAACCTGAGGAAAGACAGGGAGTGGCAAAGGTACACAAAGGACCGTAAGTGCCCACGTAAAATATCCCCACGTTCACAAAGAATCTTTTCAAGAAACAGGATTTGAAAAGTCTGTTGCATGTCTTTAGGAAAAAACGTACAATAGCTTAACACACGTAGATTTTGTTGGATCTTAGAAAAGGAATCAATGAACACTCGACACATCTACTGATTTACAAAGAAACAGTAAGCAACTAATCACATACTCTGTGTCTGAGGCACCAGACTAGCAGATCTGCGTGACACCATGTCCTAGAATTCAGCGAGGGCTCTCTAGTGTCTTTGTGAACAAGCTGGACAAATGGGGGCTAGAGGATAATCGGATGAATGTTAGCATTTGGTTGAACAACCTAATTCAACAAAACTGACTGGTATAAGGAGAAACCAATTAGCATGCCATATGGGTCTGCGCTTTGCTGTTTTAGTCAACATTTTTATCCACAATAGGAAGAAAATATTTTATAGCTTGCAGTAATTGGATAGCTTCCTATCTGGGATATAATGGAGAAGACCCTGTAATCATCCACAGCGGATGTTCAATAAGTATTTGTTGAGTTATGTCATAATCTTTATAACAAAGGTTCACCCCCCTCAACTCAAGGTAGAAAGTCTATTCCAGAGATTAAAAGAACATGAGACACTTGACTAATCTAACATGCACCCTGAAAACTTATTTTATTGTATAATTTCACCACAAATAAGCTATAACAAGCAGTTAGCTTGAATAATTATAGTCCAAATAGAGCTTGAGAAGTACTTTTAATTTTCCTTTATTATATTTGAAGATAAAACTAAAAAGTAGTATTTGAGATCAGAGCTAAGCAGACAATGAGAACTACTGGAAGTACTATTGCATCTACCAACACTATTTTTTAAAAGATTTTATTTATTTATTTTTAGACAGAAGGAAAGGGAGAGAGAAAGACAGGGAGAGAAACACCAATATGTGAATGCCTCTTCCACACCCCCTACTGGGGACTTGGCCCACAACACAGGCATGTGCCCAGACTGGGAACTGAGCCAGTGACCCTTTGGTTCGCAGGCCGGTGCTCAATCCACTGAGCCACACCAGCCAGGGCTGCATCTACCAACACTATTAAAAGTATCACTATCACACACCTAACTAAACAGGGCTTACTATTGCCAGAGCTGTCTTAAAGGCGTTAAATAATCATCAAAAAACACTGTTCTCAAGTAAGTACTAATATATACACATTTCACAGACAAGGAATATGAGGCCCTAGGAGGCTAAGATATAAAAGCCCAAAGTTACTTGGCTAATAAGTGCCGGAGCCAGGATTCAATACAAGATTCAGAGTGTGTCCTCTTAATCACAACTATATTCTACTGCCAAGGGCATCTCCAAATCTTCAAGTCCAAAATAGTATCTTTGTACCTGCAATTTTTTTGCCCTTTTGCATTTAAACAAAGCCTATTACCTTTACTTTCATGAAAAAATTTCAAGAGCTTTACAAACCTGTATAAGAGATAGCATCACATCTGAATTACCAATATACACGGCAAGAGGAGTACTAAAGGTATTACTCAGATTTAAAATTAATAAGCAGAAATGTCATGAATAAAGAAAAATTAAAAAGTCACTTTACTATTTCTCAAACATGTCAGAATTCCAAGACACACCTGCTTCTTTTTCGGGTGAACAGTACTAATCTCACTGTTAAATGGTCCTCACTTGGACCTCGATATACTCCTCAGATATCTGAGTTTCTGTTTTAACAGTTACTGACTAGAAGAAATGAAATACAAATAGAACTGGAAGTTAGGGATTATTACCTGAATAGAATGAAGCCAAGTGATTCTACTGCTGCCCTTCTGACATCGTCATTAACATCACTTACCTAGGAAAACATTAAGGGGTTACATGCATTTTATTATCAGAGAAAATTCATATGAGGCCCACATCATTCAAATATAAATTAGACCTCATTAAAATGTTATTCCTTTATTAGAATGTCTTCCCTAATTTAGAAAAACTCATCTGAGAATTTCTTCATTTCAGGGCTTAGAAGTTTGAAAACTTGGTGATGATTAAGCTTCAGGACTACTTCTAAAGACTCGTTCAGCTACATTATGGCTTTTGTGAGCTACACTGAAAATCTGTTCCTTCAACATTATTTCCAAAAACTTATGTCCTAAGGTTCAAGCAAAATACAAACATTTAGCATGTATCACATTCTGCACTGATAAAGGGTTATTAATAAATACTGTGGGATGTGAGTATCTCTGGGAAGAAGTTAATGATTGTTTAAAACCTTTTCTGCATGGGAAGATGACGTCGGGTTTATCTTCTCCCAGCACTGAGAGCAGACATACACCGAGTTAAGACATATGCGGAATGTCCGCTGTATTACAGGCAACATTATTTATTGTTGATCAGCTATATCTGGATTAGGAGGACTGAGTGGAAAAGGCTCTTGGAAAACACGGGCATTGGCTTTCCTGTGTA